TGCGGTCAAGAGCAGGAGACCGACGTTCATTACGGAAGGGGAAAGTAAACGACTGTGTCAGGGATCATAAAGGGAGATATATTTTTTTTAAAAAAGTGTTTTTTGGCTAGTTTATACATTCAAAGGAAAATACAAGTTATTCACTGAACTTCGCACGTTAGTCTGAATAACCTTTAAACCCGATGAACAGTACATTTGTGTGACAAGGCGAGCTTTCTGACTGTACAGTCTGTTTTACATTTAGCGAGCTTGTGCCGAATAAGTTTATTCGCTATTTTATGTAATTTCTCCAATATTTTGTAATTTTTTTATTTTTTCATTTAAATTTTATTTTTTTAAGATAATTTCTTTTTATTCACAAATATTTATATTTTCTATTTTTCTAATAAGTGAAACATTTAATTAGATTCTGATATTTTGTTTTCATAAGATAAAGTACGATACCTTTGTTAAAATTTTCATAGCTCACTGTAGTTCAGTGACGTATTTTTAATGTGCCATTTTATTCGCGAGTCCATTCATCCGATTTGAAACTTGGAAATGAATTAACAAATCGGTCTTTCCATTCAGTTGGACCTATCGACTTGAATACAGTGAGCCTGAGTAAACGGGAAGTATATTTCTTAAATATAAAAACCATTATAAGCGCATTTCTAAATAATAATTTTAAAATATAATTTTCCCAGCTGTTTGACGCTGCTTTCATTTCTTAATTATAAATACAAATATATGTACTGATAATTACGAAGAGAATAACACATACGTATCTGTTATTACGAGAATAAGTATTGCTAATGTATGCAATAGGGCTTGAAAACTCATTTTGATTCACCTTTCTTTTCTTTATGAATGACGAATATCTGTTTGCCATACACGTGATCAAATAGGGAATAAGTGTTTAATCCGTAAGATTATAAGTATTGATTACATTTCATATAGCTACTTCTAATTGAGGCTTTCTAAGAGCAACCCCCTTAATTTTGACTCGCAGCTTTTAATTTTAGACTAGGATATGAGCATAGAATCTAACCTTTAAACAATGGGATTTTTTTTTTTTAAACACTGTGGCATGACAGTGCCTAGTAATAATAGTTTTAACGTCACTAAGAATCATTTTCTGGATTCTCATATTGATTTTTTTCCAAAAGATATTAAAGCTGCAATTGACGAAGTATGAGCAATGCATAATACATACATATATAACGTAAGCATACCCATAAAGAAAAATGAACCCCAACAAAAGCTGATCGACTGCTATTAAACTCTAAAGAGGGGTTTATCAGAGGGAAAATCGCAATTAAAATCAATTAAAATTCCATTTAATTGATTTTAATTATTTATTTACTGTATCGATTTATAACTAATTGTAATGGATTGGAATATTTGAATATGAATTAGCTGAATATTTAAGAAAAATAATATGACTGCGAGAATAGGAAAAAAAAATTTTTTTTGAATATTTACTTCTTAAAAAATGCAGATAAATTCATTTTTTTACTCAATGAAAATCAAAAATTTAGTAGCTAATTAATCTGTCCTGTATCGAGCACTTTAGTTCAGTGATCTGTATTAATGTGCGCTTTTTTTATAAAAAAATTAAATGCTTCAAGAATAATTAGAATAATTAGAAGGGCATAACTCTCTTCTTACCCTTAAATTATTCAATAAAAAAACTGCATTTTCAGCTATAACCAAGTGAAATAATTTTCTAAATATAATTCAAAGCATGAAAAATAAGGTACATAAACAGCTTGGAAATGGAACTAGCATTGAGATTCTCTTTAAGAAATATGGTGAAGCTTAACAAAAAGTCTACGAAGTGAAGTAATTCCGTAGAATATTTCTTCTAACTCTTTATGATTAATTGCACTCAATTATACTTATAAACGACATGTAAATACTGTTTAATGTATATGTGTGGATGTGTGTGTGTGGGGGGGGGGCTCACTAGCGGCTGAGCTGTAAAGTCGTTGAACTGTGGCAGGTCGATCCGGGGTTCGAATCCGGATCGACGGGGATGGCTGTATTGGCGTTTTCGAGGTTTTCCCCCGTGTAACGTGCATAAGAGTCAGTTTTGCTTCGAAAGTTTTCCACGAGGCACCCTTACCCTTAGGCAAATAACCGTCAAATGCTTTGCTATAATCAATCAAACAAGACCAAACAATAGATATATAAATAAGTAGCTTAAAAAACTGCTATATTTTATGTATACTTCTCAAGTAGTATTTAAATATATATAATGATTAAAAGAAAGGAAAAGTCGGATACTAACTGATTGTATATAATGTAATCCCTATGACGGCCCTAACAATTCTTTCTTACTTAAAGTCGTAACCCAAAAGAGAACAAGTAAAATTAAACTTCAGATACGTATACAATACTGAAACTAATACGAAAAATACAAAATATAAAAATAAATTATATATGTACGAAACCTAACTAACTATTTATATTGATATTACGTAAATATAGGTATGGTAATGAACATTGTATAATAAAGATATTTTATACCTTGTTCTATATTTGGTTCCATTTATATATACCTATACATAGATATATATAATTTAAGGATTCCATTTAAGGATTATAATAGTAGTTAATACTACCACATATAAAACCCAAAAGTGCATCAATTAATGTATTTTTCAGTATTATTTAATTTCATTCTTAAGAATTTTCTGCAGTCTAGTTTGCGTTATTTTATTCATAAGTCTCAAATAAAAACAATTATTGGTATATGTCATTAGAAAATTAACCAAAAAGCAGCGACCACAATGTAATTGAGAAACAGTCCTTAGCCGTGAAAAGGATGAAAGCCATTCGGTTATGACTATTATCTCACATACTCAGTTACTTCGCATACATGGAACATAGCATTCGAAATGAAAAACTCAATATTTACTACAAATTCATTCGTGTAACAAATATCTGTCTTTCTAGACCTATGGCTTTAAAAAAAGATGTTATTTATCTTACTGTTTATCGTTAAGTAATACATTTTCATTGTACAAAATTGCATTCATTCGAAGAATTCAATTTGTATTTTCCTCTGTATAAAACTGAATGTAGAGAAGTTAGATGTTTAAACAACCCCTACATTTTCAAAAGTTCTGGAGCAAGATTGTCCCCTCTTTGTCAGCTCTCCCCCTGAAAAAAGGATTGTAAATTTACGACCTGACCGCATATGGGGGTATTTCAAATCAATACCAGCTTCTTTAACGGAGCAATTAACTGCGATCATCTCAAAGACTTTGAACTGCTCAATTATGAGATTTTAGATGAGGAGAGATTTCTATGTCCCTGCGCTGCATATTTATTAAAGAAAAATCATGACTTTCCAACTTAAATTACTTTATTGCTGTAACTTTCCTGCGAAGTTACAAAACTCAAGCAGCATACGTCTGAGCCTTCAGTTGGGTGGGTGACCATCCATGTGACCTACGAACTCTCTATCATTATGTCTTATTAACTTTCCTGTTGAACTTTGGTATTTGTATAGCTGTAAATAGCACACAAGATTGTCAGTTGCACCTATTTGAATTATTATTTGTTTGTTACTTGCTTTGAATTTTATAAATACGTGATTTTAGGAGAATTTCGCTCGGAATCTCGCAACCAATGCCATGTTTGCTTACAGCTCATGTGACAAGCTGTCACGCCCCTTTCACCATCTCCTGGACCTACGGTTCGGACTCAGTCTACCTTCTGCGCCTTTTGTGTAATCACTTGATGGCAGCCGGAACAAATCATTCATGCATTTTGTTTGATAATCACGGAGTGCCGCAAGGAGCATGATAGTAGTGTATCCTTGAACAATGGTACTCTAGGAGAGTGGCTATGAAGAGTGCAGTAGGGGACCGCGAGATATCACAGGCCCAGGCAATGACATAGCGTAGGAATGGTTATAGCGACTGATTTTTATCGCCAAATTTGGCGAGAAATCACCAAAATACGCCAAAAGGTTAAAATATGGCGACATCTTGTTTTGGTGCCTGTATAACTGCAATGGGTTGAATAACTAATTGAATAACTTTAATTGAGCCTTTAGTAACTGAAACCGTATCCGACCCGCATATGCCTTCTAGTAATTTCGAGAAATGTAATTTACTAGAGATTTCTCCGCGACCAGGTCAAAACAATATAAGACCGGAACGAGCATTTGCTGTCAACTGTTTAGCTCAGTATTGAGAGTTTGTAGTATTGAGAGATTTACGTAAGAACTTCGCTCTTTCTATGCACTCCGCATCGCGTTGTGTTAACGTTCTTACTAGGTTGAAGTGTAATTACTGATTGCACTCTGTGATACTGTGGAGAGCTGTAAGAACACGTTTGTGGAAAGTTAAAGAGCTGAAGTGTTTCTTTTGGTAAAATAAGTTTTATCAAGCTATCATCGGTTCTATGTGCATTCAGTCAATGACAAACCCCTCCACCTGCAGGATTATGCTGATAGCCCTATGATACTTACAATGCAGCAGGAATTGATCTTGCCACTCCCATGTAGCCCCAGTAAGTGTGATGAATAAAAAATAACACATCGTTCCTTGTAAAAGAAGCATGATCTTTAAATGTGTGAGAGAAAGGATCTTCAGCTCCCAAATTTTGACCCTACGGCGCAGGCAGTATGAAAAACAACGCGTCTATCCTAGATGTGAATGGGATGTTTCTGTTATAGTTTCACTGCCGATTAATCTGAAAAACCGTGCCAAAACTAATGATATCAATTCGAGAACGAAAGCAAACCTAACTAAACACCTTCTTTGAAGAGGGAATAACACGGATAAAGATGAATGGCAGCGCAGAATTACGTCCATTTATGACTTGCATTTAAACTATTCAACTATTCCACTTTTCATTCCCATTTCATTCATTCCAAACATTATTGAAGTAGTATTTACAAGTAAATAGTACACAAATTAACCCTTAAAGAATCAGAATAAGAAAATGCTGAGTTTACAACGCAGAATTCTTTTAAGCAATAAAAAGTTAATCGATATACTCACAGTTGATGTCTAGTTTCCAACCGTCCTCTATAGCACTGCCCGCTATGAGAGGATTCTCGGCTCTGCAGGAAAGGTGTTTCCCGCTGTCTTCGCTTGTCGGTGTGAAAATTAGGATACTCGTGGTGACATAGCCGTCGATAGAAATACGTTCTTTGGTCCTTTTCATCTTTGTATTACCCTTCCACCAGGTGATAGAAGCTGGAGGTCGGGAGCCGGTGGCTCGGCAAACCAGTTCTACAGGGCTATTGGCAGATAAGGGCCGCCGGTTGCCTTCGATAGATACTTCTAGAGGACGAACTGAAAAGAAAGAGAGAAATTTTTGCTTAAATTTGACAGTATACAATTAAAATACCCAGCAGATCCCCTCTATAACGCTACCAACAGGAAAAAGAAATCGTTTCATTAGACAGATCTAGAAGTTGAACCGAAAATAAGAAAGGATTTATGAGTTCTTGAGGTTTGATGCGGTTTTTTCAAAATATATAGCAACAATAAATATACATGGCTCTTGATACACAAATTACTTAAGTTAATCTATGCAGATACTTCTAAATGTCCATTAGTAATTAAGAAAGAAATATTTTATCACCAGAATTTGACTCATGCATTCAAGACTATCTTGAAGATCATCTGTATAGGTTTATTTGCAGAAAGGAGACGACGCCTGTATTTGAAGACATCTGTATAGAAGACGCTTACATAGGTTTGAAGACATCTGTATAGATTCTGATATCTGTATAGGACGTCTGTATAGATTTGAAGATATCTTTGTGGGAGACGCCTGCCTGTATATGTTTGAAGACCTTCTGCGTAGGCTTACCCGCGGAAAGGCGAACACCGATTATCTTCAGCGTCACTCCTAAGGAAAAACTGGAAATCAGAAAGAAATACACGAGCTCAGATTTGTCAAGATGTATTCAAAGTATTCGTCAGAGAAGCAATTACCATTTCCTACAAATTTTTTGGCTTTTGAGAAAGAGAAACCTGTATCTGATTGTCTTCGAAATCGAGGAAGTTATTCAAATCTATGACACACTAATGTTCATGTTTACTTAATTTAAAATTCAAGTGATTGTTTTCACAATTAGAGCCATAACCTCAGAAACTGTGGGAACGGCAATAAGGAATGAGAACAAATTACTGTACAAAGAATTTAAAGTACAGAATTGTAGGGGAAGACCACTAAAATTTTAGACCGCTACTTATCACCTCGATGACGAGTTTATAACTATAAAATTTGAAAATTACAAATATTAAAAAAATATATGCAAATATTTTAATTTTCTTAAATGAAAATCATATTATTGCGTTCTACGGGTTCGTGGAGTTGAAGTGATACCAGCACTTAATGAAAAATCAAAGCACAGTTTATTCGTCAGTATTACACAGGACAGTTCCAAAGACGCGTTACAGTCGTCGGAAAACGCTTTAACTGAACTTTCAGGCTGTGTTGACGATTATTTCAGCATTGTTGTTTGCCGTGAAGCTGTCTTCACCGATATCGGTGTTTTGCCGTGAAGATAGCTTCACGGCAACACACTAAAGTACAGCTCCCGACTCGGTTCGATCGCTCTCAAGTTAACCAAGACCTGAACTGAAGACTTCACAATAAACTCACGATACACTGCTAATCCGCATACAGGCAGGGTGCACATAGCTTTTGACTTGCCTTCGAGCACGTTCTGGGGCAAACCGGTAAGAATGCTTTCTAAAATGTCCTCGCTCCGTCTATGGCATTTTGTCGGCAAATTTGCGATTTCGCGCCAAATCTGGTCACCCTGCCTTTCTTTGCTATTTTTTGGCAGCCCTAAACCTGCTTTGCGGGGAGCTTATCTTACCGCAGATGGGCATTTTGCAACAATATTTAATGATACCCACTAATAAAAATAAATCTTTATTATTGAAAACATCAAATAAATAGTAAAAATCAATTTAAATTTTGAAAGATAAAGCGTTTTTTTCCTGCATTTCTTATACAAGCTGGAAATGGAATTAAAATTTAGGAAAAAAAGATATTATCATTTAAATAAAAATATAAATAAATATAAGGATAAGTCTGGAATCTTAGCATTATTATAAAACGTCATCGTAATCACTGGATTTTAATTTGTATGTAGGGGATAAGTACGCAGAAGAAGCAGATTTACAAATATTCCAAGTGATATACTCCAAGATATTAAATATCTGTATTATTTTTAACATTTATAGAAAATAACATCTGCACCCTTTAAATAAAAAGTATAAATAAAATAAACTACTTCAAAAATTTCAACAGTAAAGCATTTTTATGACATCGATGATAAATAAAAGGTGATATGCTTCGTGGATTGTCACTAACGAAGTCTCATGTTTCTGGTATTTATTTGGAAAAAAAAAAAAGATTGTATCAAAAATTGAAAATAAAAAACCTTTATCGATGCTAAAGAATAATGTTAAGTACACATAAATTATTTATTAAAGAATTAAAGCAGACAGCTGCAGGAAAAAATTTTTAAAATACAAAAACTTTATGCTGAGAATTAAAGACAGGAATTTTAGGGATAACGATCTGAAATGTCCCCAGAATATAGTATTAAGAATCAAAGTAGGTATCTGTAAGGGGAAAATATAGATGTATTAAAAAAAAATCCATTAATTTTCTTTTCTTGTGCTGTTACCTTATGTGAAAATTGAGGATCTAACAATTTCTTCTGCAGTCCTTTCAACAAATCCTTTTTATTCGAAAAAAAGAAGAGAAATAAAAATAAAAAGTAAGTAAAAAAATTCTATTCATATGGTCTTAATAAAAAAAAAGGATTATTTAACTCAAAATTTATATTTGAGTAGATGAAGAAAACAAGAGCGAAGACTTTTTTTAAACATTCTTCGAAACTTTCCACTCTCGCATGCGAGCTTGAACAACAGCAGACTCATTAAATGAGGATAACTAAGAAACCTCTTCCTTTTTTCATAAGCTAAAGAGAAATTATGATTTTCAATCAGTGTGTTCTCGTCTGCATGTAAAACGTCCAACATCAGACACTCGCCTCTGCTGAGCTTTGAAAAAAAAAAAGCGGATTTATTAATGCAGGATGCGCATTAAAAGATATCAAGTCTGAAATGTCCTGAGGATGTTAGTTAATTAGGAAAAAAGCACGGGAAAAATGTGCTTTTTCTAAAATTTTTATTTGAGCAAATACGAATTTAAATCTCATTTAATTTGAAGGTTTTTAACAAGAGTCCGAAAATTTGACGATGTAGATTTTGAATAAAACGCTATCCAGTTTCGAAGACCATTATGTGTGCTAGTTCCTCTTCTTGAGGAGCAAAAAAAGTTTTGCTTCTTAAAAGGAGAAGTCTGTGTTTGATCCCTCTTGAAGTCGACATAGTTTTATTCAAAATGTATGTGAACTATGATTGTTTTTTGCCTACTTTCAAAATTTTACCCCCCCCATTAGGATGTTTTTTTTTTCTTGTTAGTTATATAAGACTTTTGATTTATCTTTCAAATTCAATGTATTTTAATGGTTAACAAACTGAGACATTCAAACGCAATAAAGACACTCGATTTCAACCTTTTTTTTCCCAATACATCTAATTACTTTCATACAAATACACTCAGTTTATAATATATTCTACTGATAATATTTATCAATTGCTGCAGCACTGATATAAATGATAAAACATATTTCTGATGTCATATATTACATAATTGCTATAAGGCATTTCTCCCGCCTTCTTAGCATGCCTACGTGGCGTGGTGGTCTACACGCTGGGCGTGTATTCCAGAGGCCCGTGGTTCGATTCTCGGCGAGGAGTTTGCTCATTTTTCAACACTCCTGCTTAAAAAATAACCTAATGTTTCTACAGTGGCACCCGAACTAAACGGGTGGTCAATGATGATCCTCCACACCCAGGATTTGTTGATTGGGTCCCCTAAAACCCCAGTCGCCCTTAAAAAGGGAGAGTACATAAGGTATTTCTCGCGCCTTCTTAGCATGCTTTTGTAGTGCAGTAGCCTGCACGCTGAGTGCGTATTCCAGAGGTCCGTGGCTCGATTCCCGGCGAGGGCGTTGCTCATTTTTCATCTTTCCTGCTTCCAGAAAATACTGCTACACTGCTATAATGTTTCTTTAAATTTTAGTGGCGTTTTACATTTCAGATAGCTTTTTCGATATTTGTATAATATTTATTTAATTTTTACTGTATAATATTTATTTAATTTTTACGTTAACAGTTTGGATATATTAATTTTCTGAAGTGCACATATTTCACTATTTTCCATTACGAAAAAGAGGAAATCTCGAGGTCATCTCACATTCCAGTTATGTACCGTAGCGGGCGCAAACGAACGCCGCTCCCATTACCAGTTAACAACTGACAGATATCGCGCCTATTGAGGAAGAAATAAATCCCGCAACCGAAGAAGGGTTAAGCTGTAACTGAGCTGTAAAATGTTACTGATAAATAACTTTTTTACACATGTTACTTACACATATAAACTCAAAATTAATTTTAAATAGACAGGGAAATATACGAGTATATCCAAATATAAGCTGAAGAATATGTTCAGAGATTCACGATCCGGTTTCCATAAATACGAGAGAACAAAAAAGATCACATAACTTCAATTATTAGTCCAAAATTGCGTTATCCGGAAGTGGTTATTAGTCTCTGAACGGGATTTTGCGTCGTCCACTATAAACGGCGAATCACTTTTGAAATCGTTCCAACCAAATATTATCATCTTTTAAAGAAATTAAATATTGAAGAATCTGTATGTATGTATGTATGTTCCTTGTACTGTGAATGAACGACTGCACTTTGGGCTGTCAAGTTTTCAGTAGTTTTCAATCCGAGCATATGCAGCTGGAAGCTTCAATTTTGAATTACCAATTTTATATTTCATATGTTATAAAATTTTAAGAATTTTTTATTGACAAAATCAACGATATGAAAACGAACAGTGGCAACACAGAACGGAATATTTTTTTTTATCTCCAGCGCGCGAGATTGTCTATCGGAAATTCTAAAGATATGCTGTTTTTAAATATTTTGTGATTTTTATGTTGAATGGAATTTTATGGGGCGTAAATGCAAACAACGTGCTATTTAATGCATAACGTTAATATTAATAAGACAAAAAACTTTTTGAAAGCCATCTTACTAAGAAAAGGGAATATTAATATGGTGAAATTTCCTCAGAAAAGAGGAAACAAAATTTTAAAAAATGTATGCCAGCATTTAACACTTCACCGGGAAATTGTAAACACATACAGCTTTTAAAATTTTCGTGATTTTGTTCTTGAATTCTATAT